TCTCCTCCCCGTGTTCGTTGACGACCTTAAGGTCGAGCATGTCCGGCATCACGTACTCCTCGGCGGGTTGCTCCTGGTAGTAGTTGATGCGGAGCTCGATTCCGGCCCGATCTCCAGGCTTGAGACCAAGATCACGGAGGGTTTTGTCATCGGGGAGCACTTGCTTGAACTCAACAGCGCCAGACAAGTTCATGAGATACAGGGACTTGTCCGGAATGCTTAACTCTGCCTCCAAGTCACCACGGATCTTTCCCACGGGGCGGTCGATGTTGATCTGCTTGGTCTGACCATAGCCCTCCGGTAGAATCACGAGGTCGATTGCAGCCTCGCCAGGGCCCTCCCCAACTGTCGGCGCAGCAGGTGCAGCCTCTTCTTGCGGTGCCTCCTCCGCGGCACCTTCAGCAGCAGCTGGAGCTGCATCTGCACCTTCTGCTGCCCCTTCTCCTCCGGTCTCTGCTTCTTGTGGCGGTTGCGGTGCTGCACCATGGCCGTCCTCCTCAGCCTCAACCGGGGCGTCAGGGATCTCATCTTCACCCTCCGCCATTGCTAGGGCAAAGTCCACCCGCTCCAAAGCTACCCATGAATGGTCGCTTGGGCCGTAGCCATGGGGTTTAGGGCATCAGAAAGCATCACAAAGCTCTCGATGGCCTGCTACAAAAGAATGACTCAGTCTTTGGGACGCTTTTGCGAGTGACAGACCAGAGGTCCTCAAATCTACGTCAGGGCAATTCACACCGGGCAGTGATTGCAGAGCACGTGCCTTCGCAAGAAGGCGGCTGCACCTGCAGCTTCAGTTCTATGCGTGCGGTCAGGGGATGAACAACTGAGAGCAACAGGAGGAGCAGGAGGAATGGCAGCGGCATCGAGACGACAGCCAAAAAAGCCTCAGCACAAGCCGTCGTAGCAATATTTTTCGGATAACAAATCGGCGGAGAAGGGTTTGATCACATGCATAGCGAAATCCCGACAGGTTCCAAGGGTCAGCATGCACCACATATTGATATGTGTGCTGTGTCTTGTGCTGGAGCCCCCTGATACTCCGAACCACGTCTTCAAGCCTTGTTTTCGGCCCGCCTTTGTCGGCCGTATTCGGAGTGGAAGTCGCAAGCGAGCTTGCGCTGCACACGGCCGCACGCTCCAGAAGGAACAGCCTGAACTGTTCAGCTGCTAGGAGCCGTCATCAGGGCAACTTGAAAACAGTATGAATCAAGACAAAAGAGAGACTATCAGAGCACATATCATAAGATAACTCAATACAACATAAGATAAGATGCTATAGTGCAGCCCATCAAGCTGTGATATATATATATATATGCATACACATGTACAATCAGACAAAACGCGAATAAGTAAATGAATTCACGAAAAAACACAAATAAAAACACAAGTAAGCATGTGTGTGTGTATGTATGTATGTATGTATGTATGTATCTATATGATGATGTAATATATCATATATATATACACACATGCAGACATATGTACGATGGCGCAATCCAGTATAACAAAACAGTTCAACTAAAAATAAGATGAACCCGGGCCATGCCTCAGTTGATGACATATCATGTACTGTCATGAGAAATGTCATACAAGCCAAATAACACCACAGATCAAAGGCCGAGAGACAGATAGCTTAGATAGCTTCGACAGCTTAGATAGCTAGATAGATGGAGAGATAGACAGACAGGCAGATCGTTAGATAGATGGGTGGACACATAAAGAGAGAGAGGGAGAGAGAGGGAGAGAGAGAGAGATAGATAGATAGATAGATAGATAGATAGATAGATAGATAGATAGATAGATAGAGAGCTATCTAAGTAACTGCACAGTTGTATTGTATACATACTTTGATAGCTACACTCATCTGCAGTCTCTATACAGCGCCGGTGTACATGCATGTAAGAGAACCTGAGTGAGGAAGAGGTTGTGAGTCAGATGGTCTTTGCCATGCGGGCAGATGGTGTCGACGCAACTCACTCCTTCCATCTCGTGGAAGGTGGTACGGTGGTATAGGCACATGCTCATCTGTCCGCTACTCATGCCGGGTCGCGTGGTCCCTAAACCATCTGACGAGTTCCGATCCCTGCAGCTTCGAATTGGTTGTGGGGGTCAGTGCATGTATTCGCATGACGGCCATTGCAGCTTCTTGTTGGCTTGGGGTCTTACATCTTCGAACGCTAAGGCAGTTCTCTTGCTCTGAGGGGGCAGCAAGTGCTGATAGTCCACACAGAGACGCTCATAGGCCTTGTCCTGCCGGACATAAAATCTCAATCTTCTCAGATGTTTGTCGGTTCTTTTCCAGGTAGGGCATGAGGGAGGGCACACATGGTCTGGCTTACGGGTGAACATATTCTTTGGCCTCCCTCGCGCCTCCTCTTCAACTACCTGTGGTTTGGGATTTTTCCAAGTGGGGCGGTTTCGAATAGAGCTTATCGCAAAGAAGCCGGAGTTTGAAGGCTTCCCCACGATCTATCAGCGAATCCATGTCCTCTGACCCGTTGATGTGTGGTGTGGTGACCCAGCTGCACTGAAGGTTGCCACAGCATTTCGTGACATCGCCAAGCACCAAGCCCGAAAATGCCAACGACCCAAGTGTCAAGGCAGGTCCTCCTGCGTGGCTGGTACTGCTGTGGCCACAGCCTTGCAGGACTATGATGCAGATGCCCAACTTTGGGTTTGTCGGGTTTAGGAGGTGTTAGGGTCTGTTTACCTTGGTACACTTTTCGATTCGTGAGGCCCGTGGTCTACGAAAGCCTACCAAAGAGTAGGCTGCAGCGACCTGGCAGGATAACGCCGTAATCAGCAGGGATGCAGGGCACTCCGACTCACTACGAAAAGCTCTGCCAGTATGACTCGAAGCCACTGCTGCTCTAAGTCCGCAAGTCTTCCCGCCAAGCACTGAGAAAGTAGGCACTTTCATGCCGAGTTCTTGGCAGCAGCCTGGGTAGTGACGCCTCGGGCCGCAAAATGCAAAGCAAGATTGATGGGATTTTCGACAATGTGCATGCTTGTCTAGATAGTATGCAGATTGGTACATACATTGACAAAATATGATGCGGTGGTAATCAGCCCGGCATAGCAGAATATGCTACATGATGGCGTATCGTTCTAGGCACCAGAGCCACTCTTTGCCTACGAAGGCGCTGAGCAGCAAAGCTCAAAAACGCAATGCAGCAGCACAGGCTGGGTGCTTCTGCCCCACTGTGCCACATGATCAACCTGTCTCCTACAGCAACCCAGGCACCTCCTGACATCTGCACATAAAAACCGTGACAGCCTAAGGATAAAAAGCCAGCTTTAATAAGTGAGTAGCTATACGACTAGTGCTGCTGCTTTAATGCTGCTTCTAAATACAGCACAGTACTAGACAGACCGTCTTGCGGTTGCTTGGGCCCTGAACGACCTACAGGCTCCGACCCGTCTGGGCTCGAAGCAGGAAGCCTACGGGGGATCCATCATCCATCCCAAAACAAACAAGCTCTCCTCTGGGCGGCTTGGGATAGGGTTTAGGGTTTAGGGTGTAGTAGCGGGTTAGAGTTTATTGTGCTGTAGGGCTTTCTGGCCCAGGAAGAGCTGGTGCGGCAGACCCGGCACGCGCTCGCACTCCATTGGAGGTAGCGACGCACAACGATGCAGAATCCAAACTGCTTCATGCAAGCGAGAAGCCACATCAAACGCTCTGGAAGAACAAACAGTCATCTTCAAAAATCGAATCAACTGCAGCTCAGTCTGCATGCTGGGGAAAGTGCATGCTGGGACTAGCTAGACACAATGTGGTAAGCAAACAAGAGTTGCAAAGATGCTGCAGCTGACGCAGTACGCAGCTTCGCCGAAGTACTGCCGGAACTACAGTGTATTGCAGGGATAGCATCTTGTTGGACAAGAAGCCAAGCCCCCTACTAAAGTCCCAGGGCGATCAACGTGTCTGAAACACAAATGAGTTCTCACCAACGAGGTGCCACTAGCCAAGGGCACGAAACTTTGGAACTACCGTCGCAGATACTCTAAGAATCATTGGTGAACTCCCAACTTAAGGCAGCACTCCTAACTCAAGATCTAATTTACAGAACTACTGGGATCAATTAGAAAAGTGGCTAGGGCCGCCGGGTGCTCACCCAAGCTGCTGCTTGCTTAATACCAAGATTTGTACCATGCAGTCGATCGCTCATGCAACCGAAGCTCTGGACTCCAGCTACACATACATCTCAATTGTATACATATACACGCACACACACACACATACATATATATATATATACATATACATAGGGTTTTGATTATAAACAAACAGTATCTATGTATGTATGTACGTATGTACCTATTTGTCTATCTGTCTATCTATACACACATCTACACAAAGAAACAGGCATGCACATACCGATGCATACATACATGTACATACATGTACATACATGTACATACATGTACATACATACATACATACATACATACATACAGATATATGTATATATATATATTTCATACATATTGTCATCGCCGGAAATGTACGGAGAGTCTAAGGCATGCTGTGATCGACATGGGCCGGCAATAAGCTCTCGCAATTATTTGTCAATGTACTGCTTGGGAACATCTCTAAGTCCAAAGCACTAAAGCAAATCAAACTCCTTCAGCCCAAATAGCTTCACGAAGCCCGAACATCCTCGGAGGTGGACAAAGCAAGATGGTGAGACCGGTCAGACTCTTGAATTCTCAGCGCGGACATTCGGATGCACTTGCAGCGCTTTTGCCGAGTGACTTTGAGTGGGGTTAGACTCCCGCATCTGAGGTTTGAGTGCCGGTTTAGGGCTTAGGGCTGACTTCAACTTTCTAGAGCACCTAGCAGACTCCTATGTCATCGCTGTCCTAGACCCAGCACCTCAACGCTGCCTCACGGCTGGTTCAAGCACTTGCTGGCTTGGCATGTGATTGCCATCTGTGGAGGCGTCTCTTCTGCAAAGAGGCAGGAAAATCCACAGGTCTGTACAGGCTATCGTCTGCCCTCATGAGTCGCTCAGTGCATCCAGCAACCTCGGATGAGCGTCATCCTACCTGGCCACTTGATGCGCTGTATACATTTGATGGCACTGGTTCAGCCCTATGTTAGCCTGAGCAGCTGAAGATTACCTTCCCAGAACAAGATAGCTCCGCTAGCTTCACGTTCTACGATCTTGCAAGAGACAAGTCGTAAACTCCACGTCTGCACATGAATCCACCATGAAGTCGGAGAAACCCTGTAGCAGCGGCATAAACACAGCTGTACCAAGTTGCTCTCCTTCATCGCCCGTTTCGCAGTCTGCCAGGCTGTCATCGAGAGCCGCGGGAGACTGCGCCCGAGGCCTGAGCTTGGAAGTTCCATGCGGCGCTTCAGGGATCCGGCTGCTTTCGAGTTCAGAGACTCCCATCACGGCCAACTAGGGTTCCAGCTCAGAGTCTGCAACTCGAGCATGCCAAATTCGCACATGTATATCTATATATATATATGTATATATATATATATGAGATACGATATATATATATATACATAATATTCTATTCTATTCTATTATAGTACATTGTATCATATCATATCATACCATATTATATATGAGATACGATACAAGTACAACGCCGAGATAGAGCCCAGAAGCTCCAGTTTGCTGTCTTCTTTGGCTGCTTTTGCGATCCTCAGAGGCGCCGTGCGCCCAGGAGCAGCGGAAGCTGAGCTACGGCTTCCGGGTTTAATTCTGGCTTGCAGGGCGAAGCTGTAAGGGTTCAGGCTTAGGGTTTTGGGGTTTAGGGTTAGGGTTCCGAGAACTGTTCTACATCTTCTGCTCTCGTTGTTGGTCGCGAGTGGGCTTCATCAGGGTGGCGCAAGTGGATGCCAAGCATCTTCTTGCGCTCGGGACGTTGCCACTTCACTGATCCAGGCAGAGGCGGGCTGCCGGCTGGCAGGTAGATACCGGCCTGACTTGGGAGGAACGCGCATAGAACCTTAACACATAGAATCTTTTTTCTGTTCAAATCCTGCATAGGGTATCCCTCATGACAAGGAAACCACATTTATGAGAACAACAATGTAATTTCATACCAATTACAAATATAAGTCAGAAATAAACAAACATAATGCAAGGAAGTGGTAATATAGCGTAATACAATGTAACAAAATGCGATATTGACAATTTAATATAGTGTAACATTATGTGAAACAATGAAACTAAAGGTAATAATGTAAAATACTGTCAAAGCATGCAATATAATGTGTTAAAGTATGATATAGGAGATCTATAATATGCGGATCAAACGTAACATAATACAACACAATTTAGCATAATACAATACAATACAATCGTACACAATCAAACATAGCCTACTGTTACGTAAAAATTAGAAGATGATACAGTATATGTAGTGAAATTTAGCTATGAAGTGTATAATGTCAACCATGCAAGATGTAATGACACAACTCATGATTAATTAGGGCATGAGATGATAACACATAATATAATATGATGTTATACATCAAACACTATGATGCAATATGTAGCGTAGAATAGCATGATAAAACACGATATGATTATTTCAGTTATTGAACTGCAGCAATGTCGTGTATAATGTCTAACAACACGAAATGTAGTAACACAGCTGACGCTTATGATTTAATGTAGCATGTGAAAAAACATGTAATATGGCAGATGTACGTAAAAATGTATGCTTTCTCATACTGTATAACTTATAAGAATGTGAAATAATACAAAGTACTTTTCAAATGGATTATTATATATAATATCATGAAACTAAACAGAATATTATCTCACATATGATACAATGTCACTTTTAATCTAAACACAAATCATGCAGCATAACATGTTTTAGTACAAGCTAACATGGTTTAAACAACGCATCAAATAGAAATTAGTAGTACAAGATAAACTCACAAGATGCTAGATAATGCAACATTCTGCCATATAACGAAACATAGCACGTAGTGTGACATAGCGTGATATAAAGCAACATAGTGTAACAAAAATTTAATTGACATTATATGTTGCATCAGAAAAGATAAGATAATACAACACAGGACATGATCCTATAAGTTCACCAGGTACAGTACAATATAACGCAACATACTACAACACAATCGCTGCTTGCTACCAGGCATGGGGACACCAGTAAAACCCTTTCAGATCTACGTCGCACAAGTCCCACCGTGCTGCCTGCATCGGAGAGTTTGCTGTCGAGGGCTTCTTGGCCCCACCGCTCTCCATCAGGTCTTTCGCAGCACTCCGACTGCGGTCGAACCAAGTGTGCACCTGATGCCGGGCTTGCGGGTAAGTACACAGTTGCAGCTGGCAAAAGGCGTAGATGCCTTGTCCAAATGGGTGCAGATCTGACGCTGCGCTGGCAAAGACGGCAAAGACTTGTGCGAGATGTTGACATCCTCCAGGCTGGCACGAGGACAACCAGGTAACACAGTAGAAGGATGCCTCTGACCCGAAGACTTCCTATCAAGTTTTGCATTCATGTTCCGTGCAGCAGGTGGCAAGCCGTGGCTGGGAGCACGATGGTATCCTATGCCATGTCTCATCACTCTCTCCCTTGAATTCCTTGGGATTCTAGGGTTCGCCTAAGCCCTAAACTTCGCAAACCGCCGAACCAACATCAACTAGGGCCCGAACCACCAACAGTCGCCGTAGCAACCGATCAACGTCATCGTTATATCGCTGCGAGGCCTCCAACATGGCAAAGAGGTGCGTGCGATCGTCTTAGAGCTGTTACGGTTTCGGGTTTTCGGGTTTGGTGAAAGAAGCGGTTTAGGGTGTGGGGGTTTCGGCGCTCACGCTCGGACACTCCAGGCGAGGTGTGGTCTTGAGGGTTTAGGTCCGTGACCTGGTAACGGTCTCGATAGCAGCTGCAAGGATGCCTCATCCCTCAACGTTTGAGGCGGGAAGGCCCTCGTCGTACAGTAGCGTCTTCATGAGACGCGCTGTCAAGTCTATCCTGCTCTAAACAAAAAGAATACGATGATCCACCACACTTCCTCGAAATCATGTTTTGTCCCTCTTGGTTTCAGCACACAGAGCTATGCACGCAACAGGCGAGGATCTAAGTTGCGACAGGCTCAGGGTTTAGTGTCATGACCCTTGTGCTGCTCAAACAGTAAGTAAAATAAGCCGCAACCCACTTCTAACACACTTATCATATGCTGAATAGAAAGTAAAACTTTAATAAGTAATACTCCAAGACACACTATAAAAAATGTCTGAAGATATACAAGCTATCATATACTACAATAATAGGTCTCTAATAGGTTCTTAGCAGATTTCGACCCTGCCTCGGTCTTGGAAGGGTCACCGTGCAGGTCGGGCATCGAATGAATCTGTCTTTGCAGTGGCGGCACTGCATCTTCGTGCCCACGCTTTCGGTAGAGCTCCTGGATTAGGGCTTAGGAGCTACGTGGCCGAGGTTTCAGGGCTTCGGGGTTTAGGGCTTAGGGGCTGAGGGGTTTCGGCGCTCGCGCTCGGACGCTCCAGGCGAGGCATGTGATCAGAGTCGGCTGGGTGAGACTAGCTATGAGAATGCTGGAGAAAGACAGGCATCACGCGCTACCCCTAGCTCAGGTTTATGTTACTCTCCCATACCGAAGTCCCCCGTCAGTGACTGGATGTCCAGTTTGTCCAGTTTCTGATTGAAATGTTCTCAAAAGCTACTGACGCGTTTCGGGTTTAGGATCGGTAGAGATTTTGGATCTGCGGAGCACGGGCTGCAGAGGACTGGAATCATCCCTGGCATCGCGACTTGCCTAGATGTGCACTCTTATTCACATGTTGCTGCAAGGTCTGTGCAGATATGCTTGCTTGCGCAAACTCGGATCTCGTACGCTACTGCGAAGCCACCGATTCCGCCCTGAACGAATGCGTGGTTTGGGAAATCCGGGCTTCAAGTCACCCAGCTTTGTTGTCTAGGCCGGTATTGGGTTTAGAGGGTTAGGGTCTGTTCATGTCTGTGTGTTCGCATTCCGCATTCCCCCTCCCCTTCCCAATCCCTCCCTTTGCACCCCTTCTACTGCCCTTTTGCCGTGATTCCACTGATGGTTGTCTTCAGCAGGTCACTGTGAAGTCGAGCATCTACATGATACATGAGGAGTGTGTACCATGGGATCCGCGAATGCTGACACAAAAAAATCCCCTGCACCGGGGATAACTGGTACTACCCTAAACCCTAAACTAATTATACAAAACTGCCTCCACCGATTCGTTGGCGCTCGGAAGGCTGGCCAGCTTGCGGACTTGAGTCTCAGCTGTATCCAGGCCTTCTGCGCCTTGGCTGCCCGAGAGGAGACAAGAAGAGACTATCAGTAGCCATCAAAGTTTGTTTGGAATCCGTGCTGCCATGCCTTCGGGGTCATAATCCTACTCAAAAGAAAATGAACTAAGCTCATAACCACAATAAGCGAGAACAATTCTTAGCTGTGATAGTAAAATCTCATAGAAGCTCTGCAGGAGCCGGAGTGGCAAAGCCCTGCACCTCGAATCCTACACCCTTTACACCTGGACTATGCATATCTTAATAATATTCCATGATACGAGACTAAACCCGAAACCCTCAACTGGTGCCCTGTTGAGGAAATATTTAAAGGACTTTTTTTCATCCCTGTTAGGGTTTTCTTATAACAAAAATGTAAATTTGTATCCAACAAGGACCCAGTAAACCCTGGTAGCAGCGGGGCAGGAGCTTGACGATGATCGCGAGCAAGTAGCATCGCACGAGTAGCAGTTCAGAAGCGCTAACAACAAGAGTGATGTTAGTAATGATGTTTAAGGCTTTTCGGTTTAGGGTCTAGTGCTACTCATGTACGCATACTGACTGCACAACTACCTCCATCGTAATTTAGTCTTATAATGTGTTATAGCCGGCTATTATAGCAACACAAGCATGCAAGGGCAAACAAGATTCGCAAGCTCGCGATGGCTTCACGCGTGCTCGGACGTGGAGGTGACTGCGTCCCAACGGAAGGCAGATTTGCCATCTTCTCCTGCATGGAGGCTGAAGGACTAGTGACTAGGGCCTCTAACATAGGGTTTCGATTAGCTGAAGGGGTTTTTTGGCTCGCTATTGGCAGTGGGTGGACTGTGGACTTGTTCTCTTCACCGCCAAGATATGGCACAAATCTCATCTATGGAATCTAAACCCTAAACCCTCAGGTCAAGGAAGCCGAGACCGGCCTGATAGGAGTCGCCCTCGTGCCTGCTCGTGCCTGCACACAGGTCTTCGTTTCGAAGCCCAAGGAATTCGACGGCTTTCGGGTTTAGACTTCGGGACGAGGGCATGCGGTGCAAGCTGCTTCGGTAATGGAATTTGTCGCGTTCAGTATATGCAGGCGCTCGGTCTCAACCGGATGGCGTGCAAAGACCAGAAATCACATCACATCGCATTTGTTCGTCTTCTATCTGTACCTTCGGTCACCGGTTACATGGGTACAGGAAGCGAGGGGAGGCACCTACATTTCTGGGCGGCAGACCCCTGATGAATAACAAAGCTGCTCTGGTGGGCGATGACAACTGGATCCCTCGCATTGCCGCTTTAGCACTGCCACATTTACGTTTAGGGTTCCCGCACTGGCTGGCTTACCTTACGCCGAGGCGAAAAAGCGATGTCGTGTATCACCCAAAGAACCAAGCAAACCAAACGACGAAAACAACAGGCCATACACATCAAGCCATCTGTTAAAGTAAGCAAAGGAAGCGATTGTCACAACAGTCCGAACCTTGCGGCGAATTCCGAAATCCTTGGCTTGTCTACCTTTTTGTTGTTTCCCAACTCCTGCCACCAGTACACCGTGGATTGCTCATCACTTATAAGCGGGCGGTTCTGATCATACTCAGCGAGCAAGTCCCCAGTGCGTCGTTCGAAAAACCACACGTTCATTCCAATTCCTGTTCATCGAGACCTGTTATCCCTCATCATTTTGCGACTGATCGTGGGGATAAGCCTCCTCCAAGGAGCTGGAAGAGGTTTGAGAATACATGGTACAGATAAGAAGGTGTTGTTTCGCACGTCCATCGCAACTGAGCTACAGACACTGAACATACTACTACATCTACAGCAAAAAGACAACGGACACCAGCAACCTAGCTCGCGGATCCCTTCTCCAGGTCAACTCTCCTCCCCATGAACTCATCTCCTATTTGCGTGGTGACTATCTTTTCTTTCTTGGTTCGTTCTTATACGAATGTAATGAAGGACGAGAAGCACGGACGAAATGGAGCAAGGGGGAAATGGAGCATCGGCCGGATATGCTGAAAGCTGGATTCGAACATAACTTAGTCTTCGTGGAAAATGCTGACATCAGTGTAAGCCCCCAGGCACAACAGCGCTCCACTCTCCAGATGTTGGGTGACCATACTGTCAGCATGCCCCAAACTCTTATTCGAATTAAGAAGATGATGCAGCAGTCAGCCTGTCATGCTGCCATAGGGATTGAAGGTGCTCCTGCCTCGGATGGAGAACAAGCGACGCGCACTTCGGAGCCCTCTGGAAAGCTAGCAACTTCCGAGTATTGAGCAGTGAGCCCTGTACTGTAGCATGTCATGTGGCGCAAGGCATTCTGACTTGACTGAATAACATTTTGATTAGGTCACGACCGAAAGATTTGAATGTCTGGACATTGACCCCGGAGATTGGCCCAAAAATACCGCACTTCTGCAAACACAGTGCTCCGCCGCATTGAAGCCCCTTCGCCCCCACGCTGCAGCCCGCTCTGTGTGTGTCTCACCGACCATCCGCCCGTCTGCTCCATGTAGCCATCCTCGGTTGAGGCAGGTGCAGTACAACGGCAAGACGAGCTCGTAGACAAGAAGCGATGACGAGCTCAGGCTTCGACCGATTTGCAAGACGCAGACAACCACGTGTAGCTCGTGTGCAATGACACTAACAAGCTTCCCAAACCCTACACCCGAACTCAGAGTTCGCGATGCTGCAGACAGGTGTCACTCCCATCAGCAGCTCCAGTCCGGGTCTTGGAAGCTATGCCACGCAAGGCTTGTCTCGCCGCTAGTTTTGGGAAAAGCAACACAATGATAAGGACAAGGCTCCGAAACACCGTGGACTTTGGGAAACATAAGGGGTCCCCATAAAGATTCACAGGAACCTTAATAAATCGTAGGACCCGTAATATGAGGAAGTACCTAGAGATTTCCAAGAACCCCATAACAGCCCGAAAAACCTGTAAGCATCCTATGAAACCCCACCATCAGGACAAACCCTTTCCTTGCAGCTCGGGAGCATTGCCGAAGCCTCGAGTGCTGCCAGCAGCGTCTCCGAAACCTCTTCTGGCAGTCCTGTGAGATTTTTTCCCAAGTTGTTTAAAGCCTTGGGGTGGGGCTTTGGTTTTCGGCTCTTGGGGCTTGCTTTTTATTTAAGGTCTGTGGGTTTGGGGTTTAGGCCTTCTGGGTTAGGTTGGGGCTTTCTGCTTCACGCATGGCCAGGTCTAGAACCACATCGCAAGCTTGGTTCGGAAAGTTGGTTTGAAGCTGTCGTCGTGGAGGTATCAGAAAGACGGTTAGGTTACAGAGGGTTCACGGATTACGGGTAGGGTTTAGGGCTTCTCGGAAGGGTCTAAGAAGCAGGCACAGCAGCATGGAATCAAGGGCTTCGGCACGGGTCGAGAACTTGGGAGGCTTTGAGTTTCCTTTCGTGATACCTGCCATGTAAAGCTTGCGGCTCATACATGAACTTTCATATGGAATCCCGAGGTCGGTATGAACCCTCTAACAAACCGAGAGTCCTAGGCCCGGGCGAACCTATACCGAAAAAAGGGAGGAGTCGACTTGTCACGGTCTTTAAAAAGCCATTCCTCATAGTGGAAGAAGTTCAATCCGACTGAGATTTCCGTTGCTTTGAAGATGCATTGACATTGAAGTGCGCCTGTTATCTGCGAAGACACCATGACAACCAACTCATCAACATCCACACAGTGGGTATCCATAACAGATTCACCTACGTGGGTAACGATCACATGGCGAGCAATCACGGAATGCATGATGCGGACACGCCTGAACCTAAACTGCGACCCTCCTGGAGTAGAAAGCTCGCATTGAGCTGTCGGCTGGTGGGGATGGGGATTCCGTCGGCACCTGAGGTTAAAAGCAAGACGTTCCTCTTTCAGTTTGGCGGACCACTTGACGGATGCAACGAATGATACCCTGCTAGACCTGCTTTCGACAGCAAGCCGACCCTACACCGTATGCCGTATGCTTCCGTCCTGTGCTGGCTGATCGTTCTCTCTATCTTACTGTTACCTTCTCGCTGCTACGACATCTTCTGAGCTTGTGCATCACAACCTGATATGTACTGGGCCAACGACATTGCAAGGCTGATCCCTCGGCAGTGATTTCCAAAAAATCTGCCGATGTGAACGGGAATCATGCCGAAAAAGTGCGCCGCTCACAACTCTCCAGATCTACTATCGCGTTTTAACTCCAAGATTCCCCCGTCAAAGCTGGGTGGATCTTCACTTTCTTCACCGACAGCCTTCAAGAACGTCGTCGCTTCATTACTTGAAGATACAGGAACCTTGAAACCTGGGAGTTGCCCCCTAGATGCTGCGTCGCTGCTGATCTCACCCGGCTGAGCGGTGACAGGGGTCCCAAGTCGTCATCCACACGCGGGCCCAGTGCCGGAAGCGGAGTGCCTCCTGCCGGCATTGTTGGAAACCGAACCCTAATTAATTAAACCCCCCTTTTCCACAGGCTTGAACTGAGCTCGCCCGGCCAAATCCCTCGCAGCACATCGCCCCCCCCCCCCCCCCCCCCNNTAAACCCTAAACCCCTGAACACTAATGAATTAAACCCTAAACGAACCTAGGCGCAACAGGTTTCTGGCACTGCTGCCGTCAGCACAGGCCGTGTGTTTCTCAAAACTGCTTCCCAGGGTGGAGAGCTTCCAAATCCTCAAATCCTAAAATCCTGCGACAAGCAGCCGCAAACCATCCATCCTAGTATCGACAGCCTCAGCACTAAGAGGCGTGATAGCAGCCACTACGCACGGAAGCGCTTTTGAGGGGAGATCTCGTAATCTAGACATGGCCATGTGCGGGGCTTCTTCAATATATAGACAGGGACCCTTGGCAAGAGGCCGTGACGGATTCTAAAGAGGTTGATGGTGACAGGGGCGCTTAAAGCGGCCCCTGATTCATAGTTCGTTATGATAAAGACTCTTCACCTTTTCTGAGACTACCGTGTCAGCACCCCGATGGTGACTTTCAACACTCAGGTGCTCACAGTCTGGCCACAGTCCCCTACCAGCCTCGGGCCGTGACGTACATCGACATCTCCTGCAGCCTGGTGTCATCTCTCAAACCCGCCACTGTCTGACCTGCACGAGGCAACAGACCGAAAAGGTGAACCCGCATTCAACCTAGTGTCCTACCTATGTTGGGACTTGTGACCCGGGTCTTAAGGCAACAGAAGACAACACGAGTACAGCCAAACTTGGGAACTCAGGGGGAGCGTTGTAAGTAGGTCTTGAAGGTAGTTGTAAGGGCCCCCAATGTCGACAAATTCGTGGTCTCTTTGTCAGGTATGGGGCCTCCCTGCAATGAAAGGCACGGACGGGTTCATTTCAATCAGATATGCTGATCCGGGATTCTTCAAAGGCATCCAATGATGCCCATGAAATCCTCACACGCAGAAAAAAACATACAAGCGGCCCCCGACGGCCCACCTGAAGCCTATTCAAACCCTACCTTGTTACTGTTAGGGCATCCATGTCATTTCCTTACGTAAAACCGTTAAGTAACACGGTAGGGTTCACTTGTGGTTAAGCTAAACACTATGGTGGCTGAATCCAAGAGGCTGGTCGCCAGACTCTTCGGCGTGCTCGGATGAAAGCCGAACCTTTGCCACTTAGCAGCAGTAGTGGTGGTGGTAGTCGTAATTAATAGCAGCAGCAGTGCTAGTAGTAGCAGTAGTGACTCGGTAGTGGCAGTAGCATGAGTAGTAGCAGTAGCGGCGGTAGCATATATGCTTATCCGGACCCTGGCTCCTTCCCACTGTCTCTTTGCTTTCAGGCCGAGGGTTTGGGCGTTTGAACCCGGAGCCCTAACGCAACAGCATGGGGCTTAGGCTCAACCTTTAAACTAAGCTTATTTAAATCTCCTTGCTAGGAAAAAACCTGGAGAGAAGCTCTGAACCCTACCCTCCAAGCAACCCTAAGGTTTTGGTTGCCTCACTTTGTAGGGGGGCCTCTATAAGTAAGGCACCCCCCCCAGAGATTTTTATAAACCCAGAACTTACGATCGCCGGCTCATGGAAAGTCAGCTGTCTGCCACGAGGAACGGCTTCTGCTCGAACAGCTGGCCTGCGTAGCAAGCAGGTTGGAATAGGGTTTTTTGGAGTTTGAAAACTCCAGATAGGCAGGGCAGCAACAACTGCAGGCTGCAAAACCTTCAAATACCTTAAACTTCCGAGACCTCAGCATGACAGAGCTCGGCTGCCGACTGAGAGGGCTCTTCACAGCTGCTGCATCTGCGCTTCCGGCCCGGTCCTTGGTTCACTCAAAACTTGAGGACATCCTGGAAACTAATCATGAGGAGCCTGGTGGTATTGTGGTGACGCTATTTGTCGGCGTGCTTCGGCCTGGGCCTCTCTGACTCCGTGACGTTGACACACAAGAGGCAGAAATGTCGTAAGCATGCACATGACATGCCCATTCTGACAAAGCCGAGGGTCTGGAGACAGCGACACATGACCTGCAGCATGTCCCCAAGCGTATATCGTACCCTCTGGTGCACCTGCTACAGCATCCTCTTAGCTGTGTCTTGCCTGAAAGGGCTCTACGGCACCCAAAACATTAATCGCGAAAAAAAGCCTGGAGGGCCTAGTGACCTGCTCGCAGAATTTTAGGGTGAATCATTGCCTGCATCGTTTTTCACTGTTAGATTGTGGTCTCATCCGACACTGCAAGCGTTGACGCGCTTCCCCCTGCGCTTTGCCTGCATTTCTGAGAGTTGCAGCTGTCCTCTGCGCGGGAGTCTTCTTCCTCGGAGCAGGCAGATGGAGGTGTCTGTAGGACCCCCCTGAAAGCACTGCGAGCCCAGCAGCATGCCCTCTCTTGCAAAGTATGATATTTCCGAACCCAGTGCCCCCAATGCGGAAGCCAAGTCAGGTCCATTGACCCTGCAGCCCGGAAGCGAATTGGAGCCCTATACCTATGAAGCTCTGCTTTCGCGTGACTTGATTGGAGTTGTCCGCCACATAGTTCATTGGACCCCAATTTGCAGTTGATACCGATGACTCCGATGACTTCACAGTGGCCAGGACTTGGCGTTTTTTCGCGGTTCGGGACATGACAAGTACCAGTTTGGCCTGCGCGATACCTACTTATCTCATGCGGCCTGTATATCCGGTATAATTGCCTTTAACCCGGCCCTTGCAAGTCGAGTTCCATCGCCCGAACGAACACGCTCACAGTTCACTGGTCATCGACGAATCCGGACTCTGACTAAAGCCAACCACTTTGTTACGGAGCTTTCGCTGCCCTCTCCGCAGTTCTTAGCGAAACAATGAAGTCAGGCAGGGATCCCGAATCGTGGCGCCATCTTGTGCTGAGCAGTGAAAGCGCCGAGGATGGAACAGCAACTGGCAACAGTCCTACTAAACTGGGCCGATTGAGGTGCTATTTGCGTGTGTCTGGACTGGATGCATGTGACCGGCTAGGTTTGCAATACAAGTGTTTGCCCAGCTTCTGCAAAATCTTGGGCCAAATTCAGTCTCGCACCTCTACCGCACCAAACGTCCTGCATGCGCAAATGGTGCCAATTGCAACCAGCATAGTCCGAAACCTGATGTTGAATGGCTGAACAATCACTGGGCGCTGTTGCGGCCAATCCCACGAGGGAGAGTGTGCTGAACACGAGGTGGTGTCGTCACCTGGCCATTCAGCTAAGGAGTCCGATAGCAAAACCGAAAGTAGCCACTGGTACTCGGTCGTAGTACTGGTGCGGCTGCTGCTGCTGCTGCTGCTGCTACTACTCCTACTACTGTCACTACTACTACTACTACCACTACCACTACCACTACCACTACCACTACTACTACTACTACTACTACTACTACTACTGGGTCACAGCCCCATGCCCCGATCTCAGCTGCAGGCGGCAGTCCCACTCAATCGCCGGCACCCCACGACCTGATATCATGGCACTCTTTGCGGAGTGATTTGGTTTGAAGCTTTGGTGTGTAAGCGATTGAGGGGTTAGGGCATTCGGAATTTTCCTTGGCCATCCGCGGTTCTATTGCTAGCAAAGACACAGGTTAAATAATCCATGCCCTCTCTAAGCGTAGTATTCCGGGTAGTCGCAGACAAGCCCAATAGTGTGTGAACCAAAAAAGCTCTTCGTCACGATGTCTGCCACAAGTACCACTATTACTTTTTGCAGATTTTGATGTTGCTACCTGCTCCATCGTAGCATCTGCTTCGTGCCGGCATCATTGCGATAAGCAGTATGGTTACTCCTGCTTACGAAACAGCGTGGTGACACTATGTTGTTTTTTTGCCTCCCGCCTGGTTAGGACGAACCTACGATGCATGGTTCTTACGGTAGTAGTAGGAGGAAAGTGATTAGGTCGGTGTTTTCGCTGGAGGCGCTTCCATGGCTGTCGCTGTGGCCCAGTGCGCAATTCGGATCGCTTGAGCCCCGTCCGCCCGGGACACCGACTTCTTCCAAAAATCCAATCCTGGGTTTTTGTTTTGAGCCTCCACGGTTTAGATGTTTAGAGTATCCGTTCAACCCCAAAACTAACCGTGAAGCCCAGCACCAAGCCCAAAAATACCTAAACCCCAACTTCAGGAACGTGGACTCTGTCTGAGAACCCTAACCGTAAACCGGGCGATATGGGGAAAGCCCTAGATCTGTGCATCTGGCTCGCGAAGACACCTCCCCAGCGCAGGCCACCTGCTCGCAAGTCTGGGACTTAAGTTCTTAATCGATTAGGTCAGGGTTTCGGGGCTCCGGAGCAGACATTTTATGATCAAAACAAGGAGCCCTAAAACTACTAAATATTCAGGTGTCTAAATCAGGGTTTGCAGAACTGCCTTTGAGATGTGTAGTCGTCTCGATCAGTTCATTCTTCTGCCTAATATTAGTATCTTCACTGTTATTCTTGTGGTTAGTTTCTCATGATAAATGTTGTTATTGTTCTCATTCTTGAAAATATTGTTAGGGTTATAGTATACTAGTTTTACGTTAGCACTTTTATTATTCTTATTCTTCTTGTTATTTGTCATTACTAGTTTATTACGATGACTGTCACAATGCTTCTGCCCTAAACTTCAGAAAAAGGTGGAATCTGCGCTGTGTTCATGGCGAACCCTCAAGACACGCGTCTGCTAAGGCTCTCTTCCGACACTTTCGCCGAAAGCACGGAAAGCTCCGAAGCCTGCTGTTGTCGGGTTCTTTGCATGCCATGTTGTTTATATCGACCCTTTGCGACCTGCATTTGGACTTTAGGGGTTTAGGGCCGTTGGGTGAAAAGCAAGAACTCTCTGAGTTTCGGAAAGCTTGGAGGAAAAGATGATGCCCCGAAGCCCGTGGCCTCCAGCTGAGCAATACGCTGGCGTGCCTGTGGGCGTGGTAATGTTGGTTCGTAGGGTTGAAAGTGAAAAGTAGAGCTGCTTTGTTTTGAAGGCTATTCTCCTCCCTGGT